ACTTTTTCTCTGCTTAGAATTCAGGTTTGAGAAAGGTGGGGTGGCTGTGAAAATTTAATGCCCACTTTTGCAATTTTTTTCTACTCAAAAGAGGGGTCAGTAATTGTTGGACAACTTTTTTTGGAAATTTTTGAGTTTAAATTGTTTAAATTGTTTAGTTAGAGTTAGACCTAGAAATGACTCTAAATTGTTTTGCTTAGATTTATAAATGTTTTCCCTATTTAATGGAAATTTGTTTCCATCTGAATAGAATTTGATTAAATTGGAATTTGACTAACTTTCTATTAAAAGCAATACTAGAGTTTGATAAAAAAAAACTATTTCAGTAACTCAAAATATCTTATTAAACTTGTTTATTTTTTTTGTGAAGTTAAAACAAAGAAGTTGAGAAAAATTTGGGATTATAAATAGCTATGTTGTTTTGATTAAAGATTTGTATGCAAAACTGTTAGAAAAAGAGCTTGTGTTAACAAATGCAAACAGAGTTTGATGAGCTCTCCTTTGTTGGCTCATTGCTAGGTAATTTATTTATAAACAAGGACAAAGGTTGGAGGAGGTTTTGACCCAGAAGTGGGGGGAAAGAGGCAGCCAGTGGCATTTTTGTCTAAAATTGACATTTGGGGACGTCTTGGTGGTTAGCATTTCTTATCAAATGTGGACAATTTTAATCAGGAAGCCTAAAGGAGGTATACACTTGTTCATAGCAAAGTAGTTGGGAAAAGAAAAGAAAAGAACAAGAAAAAGAGAGACATAATGAAGATACGATAGTAGATGGGGAAGGAGGGATTACCAAGAATTGAATTAAAAGATAAAATAATTAGAAAATATGTAGTCGAACTGTCCAGATGTTTTTCTCTCCTGTGACAGAAAGGCATTCTTACCCAAACTCCACCCTTGGACTTTGCAGTACACCAATACAAAACAGAACATGTTGATAAAAGCCTGGAGGGATGGAAAAACTAACTCCAACCTGGGAAGGACCTTACATCGTCTTGTTAACCACTGAGACAGCTATCCGGACAGCTGAAAAAGGTTGGACCCATTACTCCCTAGTAAAAGGGCCCGTGCCAGCCCGAGGAGAGGAAGGTGGAATCTCACCAAGGAGATCCACTGAAGCTAAAGTTCCAAAGGACTTAATGGACTAATAGTCAATATTCCTGACAGAAGGAGGGGTAATAGAGGAAAAAGGACTAAACTTTATATTTCTTTTTCTATCTAGAACCAAATGAAAACCAAGACCTCCCGCATGTGCTGATTTTGTGGGTATCTTTGTGGGTGTTGTTGCTGCTCTCACTGTATTAATTGTGTTCAGTGCACAGGGTGTGAGATAGAGTGTGATATTAAGTCTTAGAA